TCCTCCATGACAGCAGTTCAGACAGACCATGGCCAGGGAGATCTGTAACGCCAGGGCGCTCGTTCTATCCATGCCGCATTCACCCCAGGGGTTCTGCAATAAGTATAACCTGCATGGCCTGGGAGCTTACATTCCCCATCACTGAATTGCCCAATAAGGTTGGTATTCTGGCCATTTTGCAGATGTAGACACTGAGGCTCATGAGTTGGAGCCATCTGCCCACGCGTACAGGGCAGAGCTATTAGCAGGGCTTCCTGGCCCCATTGAAGTGTTCCTCACCCCACCCCACCCCCCGCACACTACCCTACAGTGGGAGGCACCTACTGGGGACCGCGCACCAGCACTGTGGGCGTGGAGAAAAGCAGGGGTGAGCATTGGTGTGTGGGGTCCCCAGGGATTCTGTGGCCACGGACCGTGTCAGTCCAGGGAGCGTCCCAGGGAAAAGCAGGACAAAGGCCACCAGCTGGGGGCCAGCACTGAGTCAGCCACCCCCGGCGTAGGCTGTGTGACGGCCGCTCCTCGCCATGGGGAGCGCTCGCCGCTCCTGGGCATTTGGACAAACCCCAGCATCAGAGCAAGCTCTGGGGCACATGGACTGTTCTATACTAGGATGGCTACAGCCACGAGAGAGCAGTCGCCATCCGACACGTTAACAGCTCTGCTCGACCAAAGCAGGCACGCACTCTCCCCATGCGAGAGGCGCCGTAACCCCTTTCCCATCAGAGCTGTATAATGGCCAGGCTAATCCTCCGCCTGCAGCATTGGCACCCCGGTTCTATCCCAGTTGGGGCACCGGTTCTGTCCCAGTTGTTCCTCTTCCAGTCTAGCTCTCTGCTGTGGCCAGGGAGTGCAGTGGAGGATGGCCCAAGTGCTTGGGCCCTGCACCCACATGGGAGACCAGGAGAAGCACCTGGCTCCTGGCTTTGGATTGGCGCAGCGCACTGGCTGCAATGCACTGGCCATAGCAGCCACTTGGGGGGTGAACCGATGGAAAGAGGAAGACCTTTCTCTCTCTCTCTCTCTCACTGTCTAACTCTGCCTGTCAAAAAAAAAAAAAAAAAAAAAAAAAAAAAGCTGCATAAACACATCTACGTGGGGAAAACACTCCCCAAGGAGGCACCACTTGTCGGATTTCATGCTGAAGTTGGTATTTTGCCTTTAAGAATTCAGGAGAGCACTGGGTGCTTTTTGTGTGTTTGGAAGCAGGACAGAGAGCAAAGCCGCACTGAGGCCTTTCTTGTGGGAGCTGCCAGAGCAGGGTGGGTGGCTCACGGATCAGTCAAGACTCTGGGAACCTTGCAGTTCTGATCAAGACCTGCCAGGAGTTCTCTGAGGTCTCCCGCCAGGGTCTGAGGGACGGCTGCATTAGCCTCTGGGAGTTCAGCTTCGAAAGCTGGGCCTGACACAGTATCCGCTGTATCAGCCCCTCCACGTCCCGGGAGCTGGGCCTGGCGGCGCCGTGTTCCGTGGGTTCCTGGGTGTCAGCCCCTCCGCGTGCCGGGAGCTGGGCCTGGCGGCGCCATGCTGTGGGTTCCTGGGTGTCAGCCCCTCCGCGTGCCGGGAGCTGGGCCTGGCGGCGCCATGCTGTGGGTTCCTGGGTGTCAGCCCCTCTGCGTCCCGGGAGCTGGGCCCGAGACTGAAGTGCTTCCTTAGCAGTTGCCTCTGCTGTAAGCAACAGAAAGCAACCACAGCAGAGAATTGAAGACAAACCCGCAGGCATCGCAGGGGCTGGGCAGCCCACAGGACTGAAGGAAGAGCCGAGGGACTGGCAAGGAGGCAGGGAAGGGGCCTGGGGTCACCAGGGGCTTGCACTCGTCAAGGCAGCTCAGCTCTGCTCCGATTCCCAGGGCAGAGACCAAGACTGGCTCCCTTGAGTCACGTGTCTCCCCGAGCAGGCATGGGGCTGAGTAGGGGCCAGCCACTGCCCCTCTGACCGCACCCTGCGTGGGGGGGATTCTTTCCGGGGACAGAGAGAACCTGTTCGAGTGCAGTCAGCTCCAGACGCCAGCGGGACGCGGATAACTACGGACAGGACTCTGGGACCCTGTGCTGGGAAGCATGGAACTCGTCACTGGTGATACAGCCGAGGGAGGTGCGGGAACGGCGAGCTCCAGCAAGGACGGTGTCTCGGAGCAGGCAGAACCGGGGGCAAGAATGTGCCAGAACCTTCTAGAGTGTTGGGATATGCCCAAATAAGCCCCATGGCTGGGGCTGGGAGAGCCCTTGAGGAGAAGGGCAGTGCGGCAAGGTTCCATGGACTGGTAGCAGAGCCAGGAGTTTTGCTCAAATGTGAACCCAGCAGGAAGCCCCGTGACCCCTAAGGGAGCCGGCAGGCAGCTCTGTGCTGCACCTGCTGTGTTTTAACTAAGGTGAGGCCGCCGCTGCCGCCTGTCAACCCAAAGCCACCTCAACCTTTCTCCCAGCCAGGCAGGACCCACCTCTGCCCAGGGAGACGGGAATGCTGGGACCGCATTCTTCCAAGCCCCCTTCCTTCGAGAGTGGCCACGGAATAGAGTCCTAGCCAATGCAGGGAGAGTTTTTTCAGGAATGAGAGACTCACAGCTAGTGCTATGGATCCTCTCTTCCTGCCCTTGAGCACAGCTGGGTGAGGGCGTGACACTTGGGGGCACAGCAGCCACCTTGTCGCCCTGGAAGAGGGGTAGCCCTGGCAAACTGAACATGGGAAGGGTCGGGGTCTTCGAGACCGCCTAGCTCCTGTGTCTGCTTATTTATAACATGAACCACCCTGACCCGTCCGGGTCACATGGCTTTCGGTCGGACAGTGGTTTTTAGCACCACCAGGGCAGCAGCCGCCTGAGCAGTTTCACAGGATTCCTGGCGTCTTCGGAAGGATCGGAAGCTCTGGCATCCCTGGGCTGCCTGGCCCAGCACCTCCTCCCCGGGCGGTGTGCTCTCGAGCTCTGCACAGTCCCTACGCTTCCTTGTGCCTCGGTCACGCACTCCGTTCCTAGCCCCTAGGGGGGTGACCTTGACCTTGCGAGCAGGGACTCGAGCAGCTGGGCAGTGCAGGGAGGAAAGCCTCCAGTCCACAGCTCCCTTGGGGGCTCTGACTACTGACCTCGTGGGGAACCCGCTTCTTGCCAGACGGCCGGGATCAGTCACCCCTCACACCCCAGCACACGGGGCTGAGGAACAAACCCCCGCATCGGTAGCCATTTTATTGGTTCATTACAATGTTACATTTCCTTCACAGTAATCGAGCATGAAATTAAAACATATGGATCCACAAACCCCCCTGCCACCCATGGACTGCCTGACGCTGCCACGGCCCCGAGGGCTCCAGCCATCAGCTTCATGTTATTTCACCCGTTGTAATTTTAATTACACTTTAATCAAAGCTTTCACATGGCCTGCCTTAGGCCTGTCAATGCAGTTATCAGCATTAACGACATCCAGTTCGTTGTTACTTTGTGGGGTCACTCTTGAAGATTTGTCTGTAGATGTAAGGACTTTTTTTTTTATTTTAGGATTTATATAAACGTACACTTCGTGGTCCATGATTTTAAGTCCTCATTCAGAGAAGTGCAACCATTTGACTTTCCTTCTTTTTGCTCCGCCAGATCTTGGGGAAAACTGGAATCAATAAATGGGCTACATCACGGTTCTTTTTTTTTTTTTTAAACAGTTGCAAAGGATTATTTTCCTGCATTGCTAGTTTTGAAAAGAATAGAATTTTCAGTTCAGCCAGAATATTGTTTTTCTCATGTTATATGAATTTTAGCTCTGTATTTTAAATGCTTTATAAATTTCTATGTTTTAGCTTTTGAGGTATCTCACATTCATTTTCAACAGTGCTTGCAAGTGTAACTGCTACAATCGTAAAACATCAATGGTCTGGCTTTGGATGGAGCCACTTTAGGCTGTCCCCTCCCCCACCCCACCATGGGACAACCACATGGCTCTGTGCCAAAGTCAGTGTGGAAGACCACGGCCGGGGAGGGCGGCACTGGGCTCGCTGACTGAGGTCTGGTCCAGGTGCTGGGTGCACTCCGGGGCTCAGCCATGGCAGAGACAGCTGATCAAGGTCATCCCCACGGGTGTCTCTGGCACACCCAGGAGTGCTCGGCTGACAATCTGCATAGCCACTGGAGTCTTTCCAAGTGCAGTGTGTCACAGAAACTGCTGGAAAGGGGAGGTGCCGCACCTCGCAGCACTCGGGCCCAGGAACCGGGAGAAGCAGGTGCCGCACCTCCTCGGAACTGAGGACGGCGCGCCTACTGCTCTGAAGAGAGCAGGCTGGCCGAGGCGCGGCGTGCTCTGTTCCGAATGAGCAAGATTAATGTTGGCTGGCCGCGTTCAATAATGCAAAGGCTGAGCTGGAGTCCCTGCTGCTTCCTGCTCTGTTCTCATCTCCCATTCTGCCAGGGCCCGACGTCGCTGGGCCACTTCCCACCACACCTGCAGAACCGTCGGCAGAGCTCTGGGAAGCTCAGGCCCTACAGGCACAGCTCTCACCCGAAGCCCTTCTTGCCTCTGGTGGTCACTCCGAGATGGGCCCCAGGCACCGACTTCCGGATCTGTGAGATTAGTCACACTACTTCCTGCACAAGGGCCAATGAAGACCCTCCTCCCCCCGAAAAAGGGGTGCTACAGAATCCCCTGGAAGTGGCTGGGCCATGGACCTGGTTCACAATCCTACGGGGGAGGGTGGGGAGGATCCATGCCCATGAGCCCCTGCCAACGCAGTAACCTCCTCCCCAGCCCGGGCGCCTTCGTGTTCATGGTGTTGGGTGGAGGTCTAAACACAAAGCCCTCTCTTTCCTTCTGGGCTCTGGAAATGCTAAGGCCGTAGCTCCAAGCTGCAAATCCACCCCAGAGCCCTGTGCTGTGAGAAGCTGATGGTTCAGAAAGCCCTGAGCCTTGGCTCGAAGCTCACCGTCTGGAAGGACCTACGGACAGAGCTGGCCTTGGGCCTCCGGCGTGAAACCCGTGTAGCTCCAAGCGGCTGTTGCTGCACCGGACACGGCCAACACCGAGTCTTCCAAGTGGGAGGCTTTATTGTGTGTACAACCGTGACAACAAGAAGGTGGCTGTGACAGCAAACATTTCAGAGACAGGAACCGGCCGAGCGACCCTGGCCTGGCAGCCCCCTGCCACGTGTCCCTCGGGGACTGGTCCTGCGCCCTCCCCTTGCAAACTGGAGAACCTTGGACGTGGACACCGAGAGCAGCAGGAACCCCATCGGTGAAACAGGAGCGGAAGGGTAACCTTGAGAAACAACGGGTGAGGGACACACTACAGAAAACTCGTTCTACTGCGTTTTGATGTCAGGGTGCAAGGGCGTGCCCGGGGTGGAGGGGGGCTCAGTGTCCATCCTCCCGGGCCGCCCGTCATACGGGGCCCTCGCTGATGCCCTCCAGAGGCAAGCTGGGCGCGCTGTCGGCCGTGGGCCTCTCCTCCTTCAGCGCGGCCGAGACTCGGAGGCTGACGTACGGTTTGTGGCACGCCGTGTTGGCCAGGGGAGGGTAGTGCTGTCTGTAGCAAATGTAAGCGAAAATGAGGCCAATGACGCCGCCAACAAAGGAATCTGGGCAGGAAAGAGAAGGGGAGAAACGTGTTACTCTTCCTTCCTGCACGGCCAGTGATGTGTTCAAGAAAGTGCGTTTCCCACCTGCGCCAGGGACTGGCTGGCTCCTAGCACCCCCCGGAAGACTAGGAGACGGGCAGCCACGCTGGAGCTACGTATCCCGGTGGCCTCTGCTGACTGTCAGCATTTCAAGCACTCCAATGGTGAAAACAGGCACTTGCTTCTCTCTTCCCTTGCCTTCCCTAACTCCCAGACGAGCCCCGCAGGCGCTCAGATCCGTGTTCCTGAGTGTCAAAGTCAATTCTCAATGCCATCTCTACAGGCTCTAAATCCCCTCAGGGACTGTCACTGCTGTTTGGTGGGCAAGTTCCCACCAGCGTCCTGAGTGATAGCTGGTGCACCACAGGAACGCACTGAGCATGCTGGTCTCTGCCCCGGGGCAGGCGTTTTCCCAGAGAGGAAATGGATCCTGAGTCAAAGTGAATAAAACATTTCCCACGCGCACACTTGGCGGATTTAGGCGGGAGGGGCCCAATCCCCCTGCCGAGCTGCAGGTCTCACCGTGGAGGGGGAGAAGATGGAAGATGTGGCGGGGGGGCGTGGCTGCAGGCAGGACAGGCCCCTCCCCTGGGGGCAGCCCCTTGCCAAAGAGGATGCCCAACAGAGACCCCATGAGAGCGGCTCGCCCCAGCAGCCCTGGCTGGTGTGGGTGCGGGAGGACTTCCAGCATTCCTATGGATTATTCTTGCTGAAAAGGGCCTAGCACAATGGCAAATCTCCCCTAACTGAAGAAAAGCGGAACTCTGGGGATCAAGGTCACTGCCAGGTTGGACTGCCCAGTTCCCTGCTGGTGGTTTCCACTTCCACACTCACTCTCTCTCTTTTTTTTTTTAAACAGGCAGAGTGGACAGTGAGAGAGAGAGAGAGAGAGAGAGAGAGAGAAAGGTCTTCCTTTTGCCGTTGGTTCACCCTCCAATGGCCGCTGCGGCCGGCGCACCGCGCTGATCCGAAGCCAGAAGCCAGGTACTTATCCTGGTCTCCCATGGGGTGCAGGGCCCAAGCACTTGGGCCATCCTCCACTGCCCTCCCGGGCCACAGCAGAGAGCTGGCCTGGAAGAGGGGCAACCAGGACAGAATCCGGCACCCCGACTGGGACTAGAACCCGGTGTGCTGGTGCTGCAGGCAGAGGATTAGCCTAGTGAGCCACAGCGCCAGCCCCACACTCACTCCCTTGTTGGCTCACACAAACTACCCATGGGCAGGCAGCAGCAGCCCCAGTCTCCCAGAAGCCCTGGGCATGCACCCTGGAGCCCTGACTCTGCAGCCCACACCGGCCCACGGTGCTGGGCCCATCAGGCTTGATTACCATGGGGCTCCCCAAGTCCCAGTTGAGACAGCAGCTCGCCCGAGAGGTGCAGCCACCAAGGTGGGGGTGGGGGCCAAGGGTTTTCCTTGGGGATCACTGCTCAGGTGGTGTGTTTCTCAGCACTTCCCTGGAAGCATCCCACTGAGCGGAGACTTTAATTCCGCCGTCTCCTGCAGGTGAAACTGAGTGCCCGTCAAGGAGAGGCACCTGTCAGGGCTTAGATGCATGCACCCCACTCCTCAGTCCTTTTGTGATTCCCTTCCAGGTACCTTGGCACGAGCTACATCTAACCAGGCTAACGTTGCAGGATGGGGGTAACGTGTGTGTATTTCATTTGCACTCCTAGAATTGCCTCCACCCACAGTGTTTCTACCAGTCTAATAGTACAACGTAAAATGTTCCCTGAGAGACAGCTTTCAGTTCTTTTTAAAGAAGTTTATTAAGTGCAGGCAATTTTCTTGGCCTATAATGGCGAGACAGGGAAAGAAGCATAGAGAGGAGAAAAGTTCTTTTACCTAAGATGTTTCTGTGACTGCAGCCAACATCAGGGCCCTGGAGGCTGGAAGCAGCTGACTTTCAAGTGCAAGGGGATGAAGCCATAGCCGGCGTGCCTGAAGCAAGGGCACGGAGCCCTACGCCAGCCCGGCTGAATCCTTGCCGCTGCTGTTACAGCCCCAGCCAAGCCCGCATCTCTCAAAGCCGCTGGTCCAGACCTGCCCACCATGCTGGACACCCCCACCCCCATCTGCCACAGCCTTGGTTCCCTTTCTGTTCTTCAGACACCTGATTTGTCAGCCTTCAGGGCTCTGCAGGTGCTGTTCTGATCCTGGATGCCCAAGGCATCCCTTCGCCTCATCTCCTCCCGCTGCCATGGAGCACAGCTCAACACCTCGGGGCTACGGAGCTCAACACCTCGGGGCTACGGAGCCTCAGCTGACATCCAGGCTAGACTGACAGCCCTCCCCGCTCCCTGCACGCAGCCGTGACAAATGACAACCTGTGATCATTTCATGTTTAGCACTGGACTCAAAACTCCAGAAAGACAGCGGCTGTGTCTCTGCTGTTGGCTGCTGACTCCCTTGAACACCTCCACCAACACCTTGCTCTCCGCAGAATTAAGTGTGGGGAGGGAAGCGTGTGCACAGTAACTCGGGTTTGGCTCAGCTGCTGGCCCATGGGGGAGCCACTTTCCCGCACCAGGCTTCTAACGTAAGAACACGCAACAAGCGCGAGGCGTTTGGGTGCAGGGTGCAGGGGTCCAGGAACTTGATCCCCGTGTCAGCCTCCCAGGGAAGTCGCTTCCGCTCCCAGAGCTTCGGCTGCCTGATCTCTCAAGTCAACATCCACCTCGCTGGGTGCTGATCAACTCATAGTACATCACTTCTGCACATTATGCCACGGACCAGGCCAAAAATAAAGGACCTAAAAAATAGTAGCCACCCCTTTCCTTCTTGCCCTGCTCGCCTCACCTCTGCCAGGCACTATCTCTCCCTGCCTCTCCTCTCTCTCATATAGCAACTCGGCAGTCAAGAGTCCTGATCCCTTCAGCAAGGCAACACTTTCACAGGGTTTTAAATGCACTTCTAATGAACTTAGAAAGTACTGTCACCCACGACACTGTAAAGCCGGACGGACCATCAATTCCGGAGCAGAGCCGCAGGCACAGCTACCGTGAAGGCAGGCAGTTGCTCAAATGAAGAACCTTTTCACGTAGCCTGTAAAATATATTCTAGTCCAAGGTCTCCGAGTTGCGCCATTGTTTTGTTCTCTCTTCTCACCCCCAGGGAAGAGCCCTGTGGGGTGTTATTAGCATCTAAAATGACCCACAACGTTGGCATCTGAGCAACTGACTATGGAACAGGCCAGAGAGCAAGGCCTACACGCAGCCCCGCTCTACATTCCATCTCCTGCGGCACGGCATTTCATTAGGTGAGTCCTGGACCAGGCCACATCAAACTGCTCCAAGCGCACGCTCCCCAGGCTCCCGACGGAGCGGCACACGAGGAAGTGGCGGTTCCCACTGCTGCCGTCTTTCCGTCAGATGGAATGAGTAAAGCGGTGAGACAGACGCCACCGTGGGGTTATCAGAAGTAACAAGAGCAACGGGAAGCCTGTCCAAGCTGCCTTCCCTGCCTCACTCAGAGCTTTGTTCATTACGAAGGTGGTGAGCGAGACCCAAAACGCAGCTCACTGTAGGAGGGAGTATGGCCTATTGCTATTCTAGAAACTCACACCCCCATCCTGTGTGCCGGAAAGCAGGTGGGTCTGTACTGGGGGGAGGAAAAGCTACCTGGGACTGACTTCATCCCAAGTACAGCAACCCGGGGCGGCTCAAAAGGGAAAGACAAGGATCTCGGCGCTCCTGGGATACAAACGCTGCTGGCTCCCTGCTTAGCGTCGATGTCGTTCTTTCAACACACATGTACTGCACAGGGATCAGGTGTCAGGCATGACAGTGAGGTCCTGGACATGAGCAAGGAGGAAACTGGAAAGCCCTGCCCTGCAGTGCTGACAGTCCTAAGGGGCAGGGCGGACACCAAGTGACGACCGCTGCTCGGCGAGTGGCCAGGAGCAGCCAGGCGCACCCTGAGGGAGGAGACTGCAATGGGCGTGCTCTGCAGGACCCGAAGGCTGAGCAGGCATGAACCAGGGCAGGGGAAGACACGGAGGCGAGGAAGGCACCTGCGGCTTCCTGGGCAATGGAAGGGTGTGCATAAAGGCACCAAGGAAGGACCTGGTCAATGTGGGAACCTGTTACGTTGGAGGGGTGGGGTCTCGGAGGACACAGGCTGACCAGTCACCTGGCCTGGGCTGGGGAAGACGGCTTTCCGCATTCCTTTATGGCACTGTTGCGGCTCGGCAGGGATCGGGGCCCCACTCTGGTCCTGGGCCGCCCGCTCCGCACGCCGCAGCCTCACACGTGCCCCTCGGTGCTGCATCCCTTCCCCAGGTCTGCCGCCGTCCCACACGGTGGTGTCCAGGACCCCGACCACCCCATCCATGTTCACGTCCCCAGAGCTCGGCGGTCTTTACCCCAGATGTTGAGGGGACTGGGATGAGCTGCAGGACGCACTAAGAGGAAGGCGGTGCAGGACTCCGCTCACAAGCAGTGTCCAGGACGGGCAACCTACACACAGAGAAAGCGATTTGCGGGGTGGGGCCTGGGGGCAGGGGACTGGCGAGTGGCTGCTGACGGGTCTCTGCGGGGTGATGAAAAGTTCTGGAAGCAGACAGTGGAGATGGCTGCACAACTGGACGTGCACACTCCACTGAACTGCTTTTTTTTTTTTTTTTTTTTTTTTTTGACAGGCAGAGTGGACAGTGAGAGAGAGAGACAGAGAGAAAGGTCTTCCTTTTGCCGTTGGTTCACCCTCCAATGGCCGCCGCTGCAGCCGGCGCACCGCACTGATCCAATGGCAGGAGCCAGGTGCTTCTCCTGGTCTCCCATGGGGTGCAGGGCCCAAGCACTTGGGCCATCCTCCACTGCACTCCCTGGCCACAGCAGAGAGCTGGCCTGGAAGAGGGGCAACCGGGACAGAATCCAGCGCCCCGACCGGGACTAGAACCCGGTGTGCCGGCGCCTCAAGGTGGAGGATTAGCCTATTGAGCCACGGCGCCGGCTGAACTGCACTTT